GAGCTTATTTAATATTTATATTACTATAAATTTTAGTATAACAATTACTTTACCTATAATAATACTTTGCGCAATTCTCAATCACAATTTTTAAGGGATCTAGCTTGGCAGTTGCGCTTACGACCATTAAAAAAACACGTACATAGATAGAGATAGAGATATTCTTAAACACTTTTTCAAAGTACGTCATCAATTAAAAACTCCTTTCACCTCAATCCTTTTTTTTTAAATTAACGTCCTATTCGACAATATTTCCCAACGCAAACATTTGTTTATATGTGGCGTGTTGGGGTTCCAAACCAGAGCCAGATAGCAAACAGTATGGCGGACACACTGCGGTAAAACTTCGCTAAACCAGAGCAAAGACCAATAAATAATTAATTCGTAAAGGAGGTTTTGATGTCCGAAATTCAACCTTAATGCTTTGAGTTTAATGTCGATTACTTAGTATGTAGAGCGACGAGATTAATTGACGTATAAAATAATAGTCACCTCTGCCTCGTTGGCCGAGTTGTCGCAAGTGCGACTGCAAAGGGTCTCGGGTTCGATTCCCGGGCCGGGAGAAAGTATTTAAGGGTTTTAAAAAAAAACTCAGGATTAGCACGGAGTCTGGAATTGTGCCCGGTATATAGTAATAGGCTCACTCACCATTACGTGGGACTCATAACATAAATAGCGAAATGTGGGTGTTACATTGTGCAGTGGCATTAAGTGCTGTAATATGCATTTTAAGACTTTTCGTGCACCACTTCTCGTGCATGAGAGTGCTGGTTAGAAACCTACCAACAGCAAGTACCAATGTGACTTTTTCCGAGTTATATGTACTTTCTAAGATTATTTAGACACCACTGACAAACGGTGAAGGAAAACATCGTGAGGAAACCTGGGCTTATAATTTTTAATTACAAGTTTGAAATCGCCAACCCGCATTGAGCAAGCGTGGTGATTAATGCTCAAACCTCCGTGTGAGAAGAGGGTTTTGGTGGCCAATGGGCCATATATAGACTGTTAATGTGTGTGTGATGTGTTTGCAATCACTCGACCTATAAGGTAGCGTACAGATAATAATATATTAATGGTGATAATGAACAATCACACGCGAAGAGCTTTTAATTTCGCTTAATTAACCACTTAACGCTTATCACTTCATTAAGGCCTACCTATTTTTAGAAATCCCTTGGTTAAATGGAAAATAAAACAAGTGATACATATATATTTTTATAACATAACATCACGCCTTTTATCCCCGAAAGGGTAGGCAGAGGTGCACATTATACCACTGTGCTATATAACACCTTACATCAAAATTAGGCAATTTTGAATGACAAACAGATTGTAATGTAACACCCACTTTTCACTATTTATGTTATGAGTCCCATGTAACAGGGGGTGAGCCTATTGCCATATACCGGGCACAATTCCAAACTCCGTGCTACTAATGAGAATATTTAAAAACCCAGTAATATTTTGCCCGACCCGGGAATCGAACCCGAGACTCCTTGCCCGGCAGTCGCACTTACGACCACTCGGCCAAAGAGGCAGTCATATATATGTTTTTATATACCATCTCGCCGCGCGGTGGTAAGCGATGATGTGGCCGACGATGGAGCACGCCTACCTATGAGCAACCTGTTCACTCGGGACTTGAAGACACCCAAATCATATTAACGGGAAACACAGATCCCTCAAGGGAATAAGTGTGGGAGAGCCATGCTTTGGCACGAATGGGCCGGTTTGACCGGAGTGATACCACGGCCGAGCAGAAAACCGATGTGAAGCAACGCTTGCGTTGTATTTCGTCGTGTGAGTGAGGTTACCGGAGGCCCAATTACCCCCCTCCCTAGTCTTCCTCGTCTCCCGAATCCACATATCCTCCACGATCCTCAAATTCCCAAAAGGCCGGTAACGCACTTATAACGCCTTGGTGTTTCAGTTGTCCATGGGCGACGCCGATTGCTTACCATCAGGTGATCCGTCACCTCGTTTACCGGCTTATACTATAAAAAAAAGAGTTCTAACTCGCTAGTTGTTTCGTTTCTTTGCTCCTAAGTATAGTTTATAATAAAAAAGGTAATCATTAGGCTATGAGATATAAATTATCCAATATGGTTGCATTTTATTGGGTCGACACGTGGCCAAACCAAATAGAAATTTGAATTGATTGATAACGCATTATTAATTCTGATAATGCGTTTAATATTAGTACTAGGTAGGGCACAAATTATATCCGTAATATATATTAAGGTATATCTTACTAATATTCGTAACATAATATAACATCACGCCTTTTTATCCCTGAACGGGTAGGCAAAGGTGCACATTACGGCACTTAATGCCACTGTACAATGTAACACCCACTTTTCACTATTTATGTTATGAGTCCCAGGAAGTGAGCCTATTGCCATATACCGGGCACATTTCCAGACTCCGTGCTACTACTGAGATTTAAAAAAAAACAGTAATACTTTACCCATTCGACCCGGGATTCAATCCCGAGACCCCCTCGCCCGGCAATCGGCCACCGAGGCAGTCATAATATCTTACTAATATTATAAATGCAAAAATATGTATATTTGTTTTCTACTCAATCGTGTTAAGACTGCTGAAGCAATCGAGATGGAACGGGAATAGATGAATAAAAGAGAACAGTAACTCTGACTGCACGGTTGGTGCGGTGGCTGGGCAACCTGCTGCCGTGCAACGTGTCGCGGGTTCGATTCCCGCACGGAACAATACTTTGTGTGATCCACAAATTATTGTTTCGGGTCTGGGTGTCATTGTGTATGTGAACTTGTATGTTTGTAAACGCACCCACGTCACAGGAGATAATCCTCGTGTGGGGCAACGTTTTTTTTAAAAAAAAAACTCTTCTCTGGATCACCCAAAGGTCAGACTGGGAGAAAATGCCTGCGGCATTAAGTCCACCTTATGTGCATTTTGTGCATGAAGCTTAAATAAACAAATAAATAAATAAATTATGGCATAGTATTATAAAGGCTTTTTGTCCAATAGATCACCTGATAGTGAGAAATTGGTATCGCCCATGGACACACGGAACACCAGAGGCGTTACAATTGTGTTACCGACCTTTTGGGGATTTGGAATTTGAGGATTGTTGTGGATTTAGGGACTGGGGAGATTGGGAATTCGGGGATTGGGGAGATTGGGGAGGGGGAGTAATTGCCTCCAATGCCCCCAGTCATACTACTGGGCAGTCGTATGCCCTGCCTTTTGGGGATTTGGAGTTTGAGGATCATTGGGTAATTCAGGGATTGGAGAGATAGGGGAAGGGGAGGGGTAATTAGACACAAGATACTCTAAACAAAAACCAGAAACAATATAAAGCTTACATTTTTCTTGAATAGAAATCACTTGTAGCAGTAATATGTCTTTTGTTCGATTAATTGTTTTCGTAGCAGCGTTACGGCGTAGCCACTATGCTACGCGGCGTAGCAAGTGCTTGTCACAGTTAAGGAACTATCTTCGACGTATCTGTAGCTTATTTTTCTTATTTACTTGTACCAAGTTTAAATGTCGTGTATGTAGTGGTATAATATATATATATGTCAGAGGATTACTCAGTATTAGACTGCCTCGGTAGGCCGTAACCAGGCATGGGGTTTCAGAGCGAATCTCTGGTCGGGCAAAAGATTTTCTGAGATTTTCAGTTTGTCACATAACATAACATCACGCCTTTTATCTCCGAAGGGGTAGACAGAGGTGCACATTATACCACTGTGTAATGTAACACCCACTTTTCACTTTATCGGTTTGTAAAAGCATGGAGTTTGGTTACGTCCGACGTATTGCAAAAAGGCTCACCCCCTATTACATGGGACTCATAACATAAATAGTGAAAAGTGGGTGTTACATTACAATCTGTTTGACATTCCTAATATTGGTGTAATTGAAATAAAGTCAAAGTCAAAATCATTTATTTCAATAAGACAAGTGGGGTTATTATTACATCCTATAGTCAGAATAGTTCCATTGAGGAAAAGAAACAGAGCTATACAAGTCATCTAACGAGATCTCGTTCCGGCAGCGAAACCATTCTGGCTTTAAGACGTCATAATACGCCATCAGGAAGGCACTCTTAAACGTCAAACAAATATTAAAAGTGTCATGCCCGAATACTGAAACGCTACTCAATTTTAAGTCGCGCTTAAGTATAGTTCTGTCTCTACAAATTCTTTGTAAAATGACAGAGACAGCATGATATTTAAGCACGACTTAAAATTGAGTAACGTTTCAGTATTCGGGCATCAATCTGTTGGTTAGCCCTCTAGTTGCTCTATTAGCTCATTCCAAGCTGTAGATTCGTATGGAGAAGAACGAGTAAGAAACTCCATAGGTTACTCTTTTACAATCAGGTTCACAATACAATTCTGAATAACTGCTCGCGTGCTATTATTTCATTATTATTCACGACTTATCGCTTTGATACGGCGTGCCGATACGAGTCGATACAGTTCTTGGTTTTTAAGGGGGGAAAATCATCTAATGACTACTTTCGCCGGGGTGAGATGGGAGGGAGTCAGACTCTTACGGACTAAAAACCACCCCGTTCTTTCTCCTGCACGTCGAGCCGGAGCCCCGGTTACCCTTTAGGTTCTCTGCGACTCCGAATCGGCATAGGCCCTATTGGGCCCCACCTGTGGTGGTCTGATGGCTCTTTGAGGCGCGCGCGGAACGCGACGCGCCGTACGCTCGGATCTGTTTCTGGTCGGACGGGGAGCCACCCATGCTCGCTGTCCGCAGGCCCGCGTTCACGGTGGCCGGAGATCGTCCCGCGATCCCCGACGCCCGGTGTGTCCTTCGCGATGACTGGGTTGCGAGGAGGCAGCGCTTCGGTGCCTCACGCGTCCCGCCTCCTCCTTAGCTAGCATGACTGCTTCGCAAAATGAGGAGACGACAATTCTTGGTTACATTTTTGATTGCTATATGTAATCTATTTATTTTTTACAGGTACATAATGTAAATCTTGTCACACCAAAACAATGTCGTCACAAATCATGTCACATGGTATCTACCGTCGGGATTCAAACGAAATCCAAGAAAAACCGCTAGAAATCGACACGGAATCGAACCCAGACCGCAGCCGATCGAATAGCCCTAAAAATATGAAATTTTATAAACAAATGGATGAGGAGAAAACCATTTTGAACCAGGGAAAGAAATCGTTTTGCATAGACGCGTTGCTCTCAAGACAGTTACCTGAAAATAGTCTCCAGGACAAAATGGCCCACCAAAAATATTTGACAATAATCCACAATAAAAACTATATCGGCAGGTACCAAGAAAATTACGATTCACAAATTGAGCAGAATATGATAAATAAATGTGAGGGTCGAGAGAGTCCCACGTCTGGACAACGGAGTCCCAGGTCTGGGCAGAGCAGTCGGTCGGCTAGTCCAGGGTCTGATGATGGGAACCGGTCTGGGAGTTACAGTCCTCCGATATCGCCAGGAGTGGAAGGTGGCAATGAAGAGTATGAGAGTTATAGACCAGGTATGTGGAAATATTGTAGATTGTAGATAGACTGTCGCGGGTTCGATTCCCGCACGGAACAAACATAACATAACATCACGCCTTTTATCCCCGAAGAGGTAAGCAGAGGTGCACACAGAAGTGACACCCACTTTTCACTATTTATGTTATTAGTCCCTAAGAGTAACAGGAACCTAGACAGTTACTCATGTCCCTGGGACGCGCCGGACTTCAGTGTTCCGGTGTTTTCATGGTTGTATCTACTGTAGATCCTGGTGCTCAGGAGTTGCAGCGGTTTTGGAAGGTTGTCCCATAAAAAAAGTTAATAGTGCATCGCGATGTTGTCGTGGCAATTTTAAAATACGTTTTTTAAACACGTTTTGTTTTAATAATAAAGCATAGTAACGAACAAAATAATATTTTTTTACAGGTATAAATAACCATAAACATTATTTTTAAATAGTTTTTGAAAAGTTTTCCAATTCCCTATTGTGTAGCATTTCAGTATTCGGGCGTAAATCATATAAAATATTTTTTTTCTTTTTTTAAAAACGTTGCCCTACACTAGGATTATCTCCTGTGTTGTGTGTGCGTTTACAAACATACACATGACACCCAGACCCGAAACAACAATTTGTGGATCACACAAAGTGTTGTTCCGTGCGGGAATCGAACCCGCGACACGTTGCATGGCAGCCGGTTGCCCAGCCACCGCACCAACCGTGCAGTCAAGAGAAGAAGAAGTCGTTTTATCCTTTCAGAACACCTTTTTTTTGTTTCTCCACCACCCAAACACCATACTAACACCCAATTCCCTTCCAGGTATAATCCCAAAACCAGGACTTCTACCTCAAAACCCAGCGCTGGTAGCAGCACAATCAGCAGCACTCTTCAATTACCCCCAGCTGTCACAGCCGGGCGCTCTGCCCCCCGGGGCTCCACTGCCGTCCGCCTTCCACCACCCTGGAGACAGGGTGCTCCACCACATGCAGCTGGAGTGGTTAGCAAGAACCGGGATGTTTTATCATAGGATACCTGAGCTTGGAGGTAAGTTCATGGAATTTTTTATACAAATACTAGCTTCTGCCCGCGACTTCGTACGCGTAATCCCACGTTCGTGACTTTCGGTAAAAAGTAAAAAAAAAAATTGGTTAAAAAGTATCCTATGTCCGTCTCCTGGCTCTAAGCTACCTCCCTACCAATTTTTAGCCAAATCTATTCTGCCGTTCTTGAGTTATAAGTGGTGTAACTAACACGACTTTCTTTTTTATACATATGTATAGATTAGGTGAATGATGTTTATGAAATCTTTTTTTGTGTGGATATAAAATCAGTCAATTTCTCCCGCCTTTGGTGAATGAGTGTCAGACTCTTACTGACTAAACACTACCCTGTTTCTACTCCTGCTTCGAGTGAGGCCGCGGTATAAGACCAGTCTCGCCCTCCAATATTTATTAAATCGTAGCTTTCCAAAATTCTCCGTAGTAGCACGGAGTCTGGAATTGTGCCCGGTATATGGCAATAGGCTCACCTCCTTTTACATGCGACTCATAACATAAATAGTGATAAGTGGGTATTACACAGTTCCAGACTCCGTGCTACTACTGAGAATTTCTGAAAACCCAGTAAAAATTTGCCCGACCCGGGAATCGAACCCGAGACCCCTTGCCCGGCAGTCGCACTTGCGACCAAACGAGGCAGTCAATTCGATGCAAAGAAACATAAAATCAAATCTTCGTTCTTTCTAAAACAACCGACGACCGTACCTTACTTCATCTGTTTCGGATAGACCCTTTTTAATGGCATAACTGGCGTAATAAAATTGATCGCCTGATAGTAAGCGATTAACGCCATAGACATGCGCAACACCAGAGGAGTATCAGATGTGTTGCCTGCGAAACTTCTACACCACAGTCTATGCTAAATCCTTGTTGACTGGACTTAAACTGCTGATCAATAATGATGAAACAATGAGAAAAAATTTTAGTGATACAATAATACTCTGTCAAAAAGTATTACTTGTAAAAGATAACAGATTTGGAAACAGCATTCATCTTTGCTTAATCTTATCTTGTTTCCTGCCTTTAGTCTATGATAGTAACCACGCCTTTTATACGTAGGATAATGTGCAGATTCTCCGTGGGAGTAGAGGCTTTGCTCAGCAGTAGGTACTTATAGGGTATTTTTTTAAGGGGGGAAAATCATCGAATGACTGCTCCCGCCTGGGTGAGGCGGGAGGGAGTGTCAGACTCTTACTGACTAAAAACCACCCCGTTCCTTCTCCTGCACGTCGAGGCGGTGCCCCGGTTACCCGTTAGGTTCTCCGCGACTACTTATAGGGTATTGATGTGAATGGATCAAGTAAAAGATTCCATGTATTTTGAAAATTTTATCACAATATCCTCGGAACATCGGATCTCGGAGGCTCAATTTCTCCCCTCCCTTATCTCTCCAACCGTTAATCTCAAGTCTGTCACCCCCAAAGGCCTGGCAACGCACTTGTAACTTCTCTGGTGTTTACGGACGGAACCGCGCCACCACGCCGATTACTTATCATCACTCATCAGGTGATACATCTGCTCATTTAACGGTCGAGTAGAATACATGTGTTCACCACCCCTACTCTTCCCGAGGGTAGAGTAGGGGTGGTGAACACATAGGGAAGTGACTACACTTTTGACAGAGATCGGGCAGCAGCGCTCTCTGATAAACCTGAACCTTTTATACTGCGATCTCCAACTGCCAAGCGCGGAGAATATGGCAAATCCCTCTTATGTAGAGGAGGCTCATAGTCCAACACTACGGGCTGTTGATAAAGTGGTGAACTTCTGGCTTTTCCTTTTCAGTACCAAAATCGTAATATTTTAATGTCTGAACGAGAAATCTGACGAGGGAAAGCCATACTTCAGTACTATGGGGTAAGCTTGACTAGAAGTGCTACCACGGCCTCACAGAAAACAGATGTAAAACTACCACACCCTATTCCCAAAACCCCCAATCCTTAAAGGGCTGGCAATAGACCTGTGACTTCTCTGGTGTTCCAGGTGTCCATGGACGGCGCCGATTACTTACCATCAGATGATCCGCCTGCTCATTTATTACTCCATGTCATAAAAAACTAATGAACCCTAATATGACTACCTATTAATTTTTTTTTTCTTCTCCTCTTATAATATCTTCTGATTCACTTCGTTGCGGGAACCAAGACAGTTATTCATGTCCCTGGGACGTTGGACTTCAGTTTTCCGGTGTTTTCATGGTTGTATCTACTGTAGATCCTGGTGCACAGGAGTTGCAGCGATTTTGGGAGGTTGTGCCGGGCTTGTCCCATTAAAAAATATGACGTATGTTAATGTTATTGCTTTTTGAATGTGAAATACAATGAACTGAAAAGATAAAATACTTTATTCGCGATCAATTCATCATGATAAAGCGATCTAGATTTTAAGATGTTGAAACGATATCTATCTACAAAGTGGTTTTGTCTGTCCGTAGAATTTAATATAAAAAAACTGAACACTCATAACATAAATAGTGAAAAGTGGGTGTTACATAGTACAGTGGCATTAAGTGCCGTAATATGCATTTTATGACGGTGCGGGTTCAAAACCTACCAACGGCAAGTACCAATGTGACTTTTCCGAGTTATATGTACTTTCTAAGATTATCTAGACACCACTGACAAACGGTGAAGGAAAACATCGTGAGGGTAACTAATTATATGTTTGTAATCGCCAACCCGCATTGAGTAGTAGAGCTGTTCTTAATATTTTCACGTGTGTTACTCGCGATTTTTAAGTCAAAGTCAAAGTCAAAATCATTTATTTCAATTAGACCAGAAAGGCCCTTTTGAATGTCAACAATAAAATTAAAAGTGAAGCTATTTGCTTATTCCAAGGTGTAGATTCCTATGGAGAAGAACGAGCAAGAAACTCTTTTAGTGGTCTCACGATAGTTATTATAGTAAAGTATAAAATTTTAGTCCCAGACAGGCATCTTCACGCACTCTAACTATAATATAAAAAATAATATTAATAATAATGTCACACTCATAAGAAATGAGACTTACTATCGACAATCAGAACTTTATTGTATTGATAACTAACTGATAAGTTATCTTATTGATAGCTACGGAACAAATATTATTTTCATCTTATATGTTGAAGATCTATATATTATATTTTATCGACTGTCAAATATAATGTTAAAATCTTAGGTTTCAATCGATTTAGTAAGAGATATTATACACATTATATACAGATATTATACCTCCTCACGACCCGGCCGTCGCGAGAGACACTCCGGGCGTCGGGGATCGCGAGACGATCTCCGGCCACCGTAAGCACGGGCCTGCGGACGGCGAGCATGGGTGACTCGCCGCCCGACCAGAACCAGGCCCGTGCGTACGGCGCGTCGCGTTCCGCGCGCGCCTCAAGGAGCCATCAGACCACCACAGATGGGGCCTAACAAGGCTGATGCCGATACGGAGCCGCGGAAGACTTAACGGGTTGCCGGGGCTCCGGTTCAAAGTGTAGGTGTAGGAACGGGGTGGTTTTTAGTCAGTAAGAGTCTGACACTCCCTCCCGCCTCACTCAGGCGGGAGAAGTCATTGGATGATTTTCCCCCCTCAAAAAAAAAAAAAAAAAAAAAAAAAAAAAAAAAAAAAAAAGGTTTCAATCGATTTAGTAAGAGATATTATACAGAATATACATACATAAGTATTTTGTCTCTGTCAAATGTGTAGTCCCTTTAGCCGGGTATATGACACCCGCAGGAAGAGTAGCGGTGGTGACACATTTATTCTGTCATCAATACACTATACAATATGGCATCACGTTTTTTATCCCGAAGTGGTGAGCAAAGGTGCACATTACGACACTTAATGCCACTGTAAAATATAACACGCACTTTTCACTATTTATGTTACGCGTCTCATGTAATAGGGGGTGAGCCTATTGCCATATACCGGGTACAATTCCAAACTCCGTGCTACTACTGACATATTTTTTAAAAATCCAGTAATACTTTACCCAACCCGGGAATTGAACCCGAAGCCCCTTGCCCAGCAATCGCACTTACGACCACTCGGCCAACGAGGCAGGAAGAATATCTAACACAAAATTTTGTCATCATTAAAATCCATTACTATATTTTTCTTTATTCTTGAATTAGAAATAAGACTACGAAATACGCAATCACAATACCGAACTAAAATACAATTAATATCAATCATTTCAAAGTCAAAGTCAAAGCATTTATTTCAATTAAACCATAGTTTGGTACTTTTGAAACGTCAACAAATACAAAACAAACAATAGTCTGTCAGTCAGTCCGTCAGTGAAGCTAGGTGAAGCTAGGTGCTCATTCCAAAATGTAGATTCGAATGGAGAAGAACGAGAAAGAAACTCCTTTCGTTACTCTTTTAAAAAAAGTATGATCTACAATGTCTCTGATACATATTTCAATACTGTACGCATATGTAAGAACAATGCAAAGACACGCTTGACGCATTATACTAATAACGAAACATTCATTCGAAAATAATATACAAAATTACTAAAAACATCCAAATCACAAATGAGCCAATAAAATTAAGTGCGCACTAATTTATTTAATTTTATTTACCCATAAACCTAACGTTACCCTCTTCATTGTGCCCCACGTTACCCCGTGTTAAATATTATTTGCTTTAACGGGTCTAAATACTGCTAATCATGTTTGTCACATATGTCATGAGTTTTGCGAATAAATCGATAACAATTAGATTATTCGGACGATAATTTTTACCCTCTTGTTACCCTGTAATAGGGTAAATAAATGTCATTTTTGACAGATGGTCGATTTGTTTTTAAATTCGTATGAATGTTTGTTATATTTGCATACATTATTTTGTAATAGCATTAATTGATGAATTTCTTTGTGTCGACTAAACTATATGAAGTTAAGTTTAGATTATGAAATTAGTAATTTATAAATAAGTGCCTGGATAACCGAGGTTTG